CCAGAGGTCACATAAGTCACTGACTTTTCTTTTTCCAAGTTATTCTGCATTTTCCCCACTTCAACGGCTTCTGGAAATTCCAGGACAGGGCAGGCAATGGGCGATGGTTTTTGTTAAGAGTTAGGAAAATATGACAAGTGTGGTGACACACACCTGTAATCCCAGGACTTGGGAGGCTGAGGCAGGAAGATTGCCATGAATCTGAGGCCAGCCTGGACTGCATAGTGAGATGGTGTCTCAAAAACAAAGCGGAATAAAACAAACAAAACAGAGTTAGGAAAACACTGACGTCTCCTAGTGAAGGAGGCCAGCACACACTTCCCACATATGCAGCTGGGAGACAGCCCCAAGCAGCCCAAGGGAATGACGGGGTTGGGACTACGGCCACCTCTGGGAGGCACTGTTGACTGGGAGGAGGCAGAGGTCCTCCCTCGCCCTCTCAGGGTGCATGTCCCAACACCTGGAACTGCTGTGTAGATTACTTCACTTGTCCAAAAGGACTTGGCAGCTGCACTTAAATGAGAGCTCTGGAGGCAGAGCTGGGAGATGATCCCGGGGAGGAGGCATGACCAGTGCAGTCACCAGCACACTCCTAAGCAGAAGGCAGAGGCAGGAGGGTGCAGAGTGGGAGCTGCACGATGGAAGCCCAGGAGCAGGCGAGTGTCTCAGCTTGGGGCTGTGAGCCACGGTACACAGAAGGTGGACAGGGCACGAAAACAGGTTCCGGAGCCTCAGGAACGAACCCTGCCCTGCCCACTCATTTCTGCCTTCTGACCTGCAGGACTGTAAAGAATTCATCTTTATTTAAACCACTGAGCCTGTGGGCTTTTGTTAGGGAACAAGAGAAAATGAATTCAGGCAGAAACTCGAAGGGTAAGGGTCCAGAAGCCAGGCCAGCGGAGCACCGAGGAGGGGTACTGGCCAGCGTCCACAAGAGTCAACACCACCTTCCCACAGTGAAGCTTCTTGCAAGGCTTGTTCAGGGAATGGGGGGCTCCAGAGAGTATGGGGTGCTCAGCGCACGTCTGTCTGAATAAATGAAGGCCGCGCATGGCCTAGTGATGATTAGAAAATGAGGAAAGGATGCGCTGGCATCCGTCTGGGCTCTTTCCTGGGGATAACTTCCAAAGATGATTATTTTTTCTCTGTATTCACCTCCCCCGAACCCTAATTCCTGACTCCTATGCCCCTAATTCTGGGCCTCGAAATCATTAACTAAATTCTGGGGTGGCACTGGGGAGCACTTCTGGGCCCTGTGCTTGCTCCAGGGTGGGCTCAGGATCACAGGGACCCTGGATGCTCTGCTAGATGGCCCTGGGGGAAGGACAGCAGCAGTGGACACCCAGGGAAGTGTGGTGGTCAAATGCCCTGGAAGCCCGGGCTGACTTCACCCCCGCAGCTGGCCGACTTAGCTCTGCACTGGAGGGGTGGGGATTTAGCAAGCTCTCCAAGCAGCAGCTTTTACCTGAGCTGTGGGATTAGGATACGGAACCCGGAGATGTATGGTAACCATAATGTGGTAGCACCAAGGCCTGCTGCTTCCCCTGAGGGGTCTCAGTTGGAGCACGACTGGATAAGACCCCTCCAGGTCTGCATGACAAGTCATTTTCGAATGGGTTGTGATCCTCTTGGTGGTAGTTTGGGGTTGGAAAAGAACCCCCAATGCACTGCAGTGAAAGCTCTCTTACCAGAAAAATGCATACACACCCATTCTCATTCATTAACCCAGAAAACGAACTCCTAGACACCAGAATTCTAAAGTCCTGGTCTGCACAGTGCCCAAAGTGCCATTTCTACCCTGCCAGTGGTGCCCAGGATAGATTTTAGGTAACACAGGATATACATTTATTATTTTAATAGTCATATATTGAAAGCACTTAAAGCTTTCCCTGGTCTTCTCGCTTAGGATAAGAGGCAAAATAAAAAGTGAGTTTGACCTACAGATAAATATTACCAATTGTTTGAGTGGTCTGCCAATCAGAGAGAGTATGGTGGTGACTTACACCTGACTAGAATCTAGGAAACAGTACTTATGCCCTTGGAAGAAGAGTTAGACCCAAAGTCCTCTCCTGGTCTTCCTCTTGATTTTTTTTTTTTTTTTTAATGCTAGTTGCAGCTGAATAAGTGGACTGCAGTCATGTTGGGAGAGCCCTTACTGCTTGGGGGCAGAAGCTACATCCACTGTCCCTTGAGGGTCAGGGGCAATGACAAGGCTCAGCCTTGGCTGGTCCGCTTGCCCAGGAGGGCAGCTCAGTGTTCTCAGTGCAGGGCCAGGGCCACAGCAGCCTTGTGTCATATCGTCCTCCCCAGCGGTTTGTGAGAACAAACAAGTTTGACTTGTTTTGTGTTTGTGCCTTTGCACGAGTGTGTGTGTAAGGGTGTACACAGAAGGCATGTGGCCAAGTGGGGGCAGGGGAGGTAACGGGAGCAGACTTTCTCCCCAGGAAGAGACCCAGGATGCTCCTATCCCAGGACTCAGCTAGGGAAGGAGATCTTTGGGGGCGTCATTCAGAATGAGGCCCAAACCACCCAGCTGGCTCAGGGTACTTCCCTCCTGCCCTCATACTCCAGGAGCAGGGCTGTCATCTCAGCTGGTCCAGGGTGAGGGGAGGGAGTTCCGAAGGCAAAGTGAGGGCTGCTACAGGGTCCAGGGCTGTCTCCACACGGGCCGTCTCTGAAAGGGCGCCCAGCCCAGACTTCTCCTTTGGCTGCCCTCTCTCCTAATTTAAAGAGAACCTTGTCCTAGTTCCCTGAGAAGTCAGTTGACAAAGCTGACAGGCAGCTGGAGTGTGGGACAACCGTGGCCACTGGTCAGGTTTGGACTACATGTCTGCAGGTGCACTGTTCACTTTTAGCTTTTTTTCCTTCCTTTCTTTTCTGGCTGGTTTTGATTTTCTGAGACAGAGTCTTGATTTGTAGTTGAGGCTGCCTTGAGATTGAACATGTAGTCCAGGATCACAGTGAACTCACTGACATCCTCCTGCCTCAGCCTCTTGGGGGTGGGATTATAGATGTGCACCAACACATCTGGCCAGTTTGAACCTTCAGGTTGGGGCCTGGAAATAAGGATGCCTGTAACTTGACCACTTCTCTATCGTTCAACAATAGTGTTATGCAGGAATATGAAGCAAACGTGGACTCAGCCTCCCCTCTAAGCCCTCTCTGAGAGCCAGGTGAGAAAAGCAAAGGAAAACCAAACCATGGTGCTGGGTGGTTGGCAGAGCTGGGAAGTGGGGCAGCTGGCGGGAGGGGGGGCATTCAGCATGATACTGAGGACAGGCCACATCCCAAGGCTCGTGTGTACAGGACACAGGTACAATGCACATCGGGGTCCAAGAGCCAGCACAAGCCCAGCAGTGTCTAGCATTCTAACCCCAACTTGTTACTCTCTGCACCCAGTTCCTCTTCTCTGTAAACCTACTTCTTCAGCAGGACCCAACACCAAATATCAACCTCCGAGCTGAAACTGGGCTCCCATGACGGAATACCAAATGTGTTTTCCTTATGCAGCCTCTGTGACCCCTCCCTGCTCCTCCAGCTCTACACTGGCCTTTTCTGTCTCCTCCCATCTACTCAGGCTCGCTCCTGTCCCGTCTTGGCTCTGTAGCAAGGATACCCTTTCAAAGATGCAAATCTGACCAGGTCATGCCCTGGTTCCAATCCTTGGCTCCCCATCATCCTGAGAGTCAAACCCAATCCAACCACAGCCCAGAGCCTCGTCAGACCGGCCCCAGCTGACCTCTGGCCCTCCCGCAGCCATCTCCTTGCCTACCAGCCTCTGCTCACTCTGGTTTTATTTCTGTCCCTTAACGGTGCCCAGCCCTTCCCCTTCAGAGGTTTCCCACATGCTGCAACATTCTTCCCTCCACTCTGCCTGGCTGAAACTTATCCATCAACGAGTGCGACAAAAATGTTATTTTCTCAAAAGCGTTCCTCAGCGACCCAGACTCTGATGGCACCAAGTAATTTAATAATTGCTCTGAGATGAGTATGTTTCCTCTTTGCTGCTTTTTAGCCTTCTGGCCCAGTCAGCAACCAAGGAAGATCCTGAAGAAAGATGCAGAATGGGGCAGGATGGCCTGCCAGGACCCACCACAGCCACTCGCTTCATCCAAAGACTGAAAAACGCTTACAGCAAGAACTGGCCAAAGAAACACCTGTTGGTTTATGCTTCAGCATCATGACTCCACTGTCACCAATCCGACAGCCAGGTTTGGGGAACAGAGCCCACCTGCGGCTCTCTGGGGGAGACCTTGTCTCCTCCCTGTGATCCTTGGCAAGGAGACAGTGTTGATTATCAAAGTCACATACCCTGGCTTTTCTACTAACAAGCTGTTTGACCAGAGACATTACAGAATCTCTCTGAACCTCAGTTTCCAAACCCTAAAATGGGGTGACAAAACCTACCCCAGAATCTGTTGAAGATTTATACACCACAGTGAGCCTGTCCCCAACCCTGACAGCATGTGGCTAAGTGTACAGTCTGGGTTCAAAGTGCTAACCCCCTTTCCTGTGCAGAAGTGGCAAATGCCTTACATTTCACTCTTCTACACCCACGCCATCGTGGAGGACAAGAAATAAAGGGAGGGCTGAAGGACACAGTGCACACTGTGACACTGGCCGGCCTCTCCCCTTACCAAGGCCACCCCAGGGAACCCAAGCTCTCTCAGCAAGGCTTCCGCGGAAGCAGGATCTGGAGGGATGGGAGGGAAGGAGAGGCGAACCCTGAAACTAGTATTCAAACAGAAATGAGATTAGTTGCAAAGAGGGAGACGCTGATAAGGGCAGAGGAAGGAAAAGACGGGCCGTGTTGGGGGTGCTGAGGCCACAAACGGGATCCAAGTGATCAGAGAGCAGGGTCTGCAGAAGGAAAAGGTCCGGAAGACCAGAAACGCAGGAGGTGGAAGGGTTGGAGGACAGCTGATCGATCGGGCCTTGCCCGGGAGAGGGGGTTGGGGGGAGAGTGGGGAACAGGGGTATGTGTCCCTGGCTCTGCGCACCTGCAGGTCGTCTCGCAGCTCTCCCACGTAGTACTGCTCCAGCCAGCGGCGTGCGTTGGCCGAGTGCCGGTGCGGGGGTCCGTCCAGGTCGGCGCTAACGTCTTGACCGGCCCGTGCCCGCAGCAGCTGCTCGCCCCCCGGGTGGTGCCGCACGAAGCCGGTGAGGTCGTAGAGGCGCGCCCCGCGGCGGACCCAACAGTCGCCGGCCGCCAGGCGCCGCTGGACTTCGGCGGGTGAGAAGGAGGCGGCGGGGGGCGGAGCGGGGGCCATGGCCGGAGAGCGGAGCTCGCAACTCGCAGCCCCGAGTCTGCTCCGCGGCCGCCCGGCGCGCCTCTAACATCTCGGGAGCCTGGGCAGCCGCAACGGGACAGCCGCCACCGCACCTGCTCATTTGCATGCCGCGCTCCCATTGGCCGCTCCTCGAGGCCGGACCCCGAGGTCCCTCCTCATTGGCCGGCGGGAAGGTCCGGCGCGACCCGAGTAGGGCTGGTCAGGCGCGGTGCTTGCCTACCAGGTGGCATTGGGCAGGTGGAGGGCGTGCCCACCAGGTGTGCCCGGACGCAGGGGAAGGGGAAGAGCGCAGGCGGGGCGGGGCTTTCTGTCGCGGGTGGCTGCAGGGACATCCTCTGGCGCAAAAGTAACTCTTCTGTGGCGGTTTCATGGGAGAAATCCTGGATCTCCGTCCCCGGGAGGGACCAAAGAGAGGGACAAGTAGGGCGGAGATCTAAATAAAGAGAGTGAGACACTTGTTATCGGTGTAAAACTTAAGATGTCACTCCAAAACTTGGTAATCACAACGTGTAAAAGTTTAATGTAATATTTAAGGAAGTTACCGCATTGCACAATGTGAACGTGCTAACAGCACTGAACTGTATATAAACTGATTGAAATGGCAAATTTGTGGTTTGAGATACATCTATATCTATCAAAGGGGTGTCTGCCCACCGTTTTTTGTGAGCAAACTTTTATTGGAACCAAAACCGATATTCATAAAGCAAGATAATGACAATACACGGTTGGATAATGTTTTCATTTAGTTTGGATACTTTGTTCATTGTGAATATTTTCTTGTAATGATTTTTTGTTTTGTTTTGAAAGAGTCTTGATACATAGTTTAGGCTGGCTTTGAATTCAATAGGTAGCCCAAGTCATCCTCAAAACTCAAGATGATCCTCTTGCCTCAGCCTCCCAAGTGCTGGGATTACAGCCATGTGCCATCATGCCTGGCTTGAATTTTTTAAATACTGAAAGAAAATATAAATACTATTGATCTTGCAGCTGAAACTTTTGGCACACTTTTGCATTTTGCCCCCAGGGTCAGTGGCTCACTCTGGCGTGGTAGACCAAGCTCCCTGGAGAGAACCAGAAGGGAGAGTGGGGTGAATCTCCCCACCATGCTGGATGGAAAGGAGGACTCAGTATGTTCCTGGCAGCTTTGGTGACTTGCCCAGCAGTGGTGAGCCCCCTAAACAGGACATTTGATTGAAGTCTCCTGGTTGTGAGGCTGCCCCTTGCCTCTCTTGGGAGAGGTTTTTCCAGGATTTCCTCTGTGCCCAGTTAAGGCTGGTGCTGTGTGCAAAGCCTGGCTCAGAGCCTCAGGGCCACCTTAACAAGAGAAGCATCCAAGCAGCCCATACCAGTCCCCTTCCGGACACATCTGATTTACCCTTGGGAGTAGGCAGGGCTGTGGGCATCTGTGGATCCCTGGCTTTCTTGTCACTACACTAGGCGCTCTGCTCAGGCAGTGACTACATGAATATCACCCTCACCCCACCTGCTGCTCACCTACTGTTTTCCACACACTTGGCATGTGTGCCAGCAGCCAAGCACCTTCCACGAGTGTGCATGTGCGTTTTCTGCTGATTGTGTCTGCTGGTTTCACGCCAGTGCTTTGAGTTCTATAATTGCTTGATTTGGAACAGTGTTGTGGTTGATAATAAAAACGGTGTGTGGGGTACATTAACAATTAGTTTGGTATTTTTTGCTTGGTTGCTTTTCTGATAGAGTGTCTTGCTATGTAATTTAGGCTAGACTTGGAACTCTCTTTCTGGTTCAGGCTGGCCTTGAACTTACAGTGATCCTCCTGCTTCAGCCCCCTTGAGTGCTAGGATTACAGATGCGCATTATCAATCCAGTTTTGTTTGCTATTTGTAATTAAAAATTTGCATATAAACAAGAGTATATATCAGTTTAAAACAAAATAGTATAAGTAACTCCTTGAATCTGCCTCACCATTTGTGAGATATGAATTTACCAGAAAATCATACTTCTTCTGTTCTCTAAACTTCTACCACTCTGCTTCCTGCTACCTCTTGGTAACCACAGCCCTGACTCCTCTGCTTATCTTTCGTTTGCTTTTTATCTTTAATATTTTTATCACATTTGCCAGGCATGATGGAACATGTCTATAATCCCAGCACTTGGAGCCTGAGGCAGAAGGATCAATTTGCCTGGAAAGTCGTCCTGGGCTACGTAGTGAGTTGAAGTTCAGTTTGAACTATATGGTGAGACCTTGTCTCTCTCTATACATATTTATTTATGCTTATGCCTATAGAATATATTTTTAAATCAACTTGATTTTGAGTTTCATGAAATCATATCCCATTGTGTTAGCTGTATGTCTCTTGCATATTTTGCTCAAGATTATTTTAAGATTTTTCTTGTTGCTGAGGGTCACTGTAATGCATCAATCTTTTTGCTTCATGTCATATTCCACTGTATGAATTTATGTATCCATTTTCCTTTTCATCTTAATAAGAATTTGAATCTCTCACCTCTCCCTATTAGGAACCTTCTTATATATATGGCTAAGAGTTTCTATAACCCTTGTACCTAGAAGTACAATTTCTGTCTGCTAAAGTACACAAGTGTTCAAATTTATGAGATGATGTGTGCTGAAATTTTTTTTTTTTTGTCTTTTTGAGACAGGGTCTCGCTATGCAGTTCAGGCTCGCTTTGAGCTCACTTTGTAGCCCAGGCTGGTCTCAAGACTCACAATGATCCTTTTATGGCTGAGTAGTACTTCATTGTGTAACAATACAAATATTGTTATCCATTCCTCAGTCGATGGGCATTTAGATTGTTCCCAAGATCTGGCTATTACAAATTGTGCTGCTATAAACATAGGTGCATATATGTTGCTGTGGTATATTTTTAATTTTTTGGGGGAAGATACCCAACAGGGGAATAGCGGGGTTGAATGGGATCTCTAGTCCTAATTTTCTCAAGAATCTTCACACTAATTTCCACAGTGGCTACACAAATCAAAATTCCCACCAACAGTGGAGAAGGGTTCCTTTTCCCCCACATCTCCTCCAGCATTTGTTACTGGTTGATTTCCTGATGGTAGTCATACTTTCTGGGGTAAGGTGAAATCTCAGTGTTGTTTTAATTTGCATCTCTCAAATGACCAGTGATGTTGAACATTTTTTCATATATTTATTTGCTGTTTGCATTTCTTCATATGGAACTGTATATTCATCTCAGACGTCCCTTTTTGGATTGGATGTTTAAATCTGGGAGGACTGATTTTTTGAGTTCTTTATATGTTCTCAATAGAATCCTTTGAGGAACAGCTGGCAAACATTTTCTCCCACATTGTGGTTTGTCTCTTCACTGAGTTGGTGGTTTCTCTTACTGTGCAAAAGCTTTTCAGTAGGGTGACATCCCAGTTGTTGATTCTTTGTGATAGTTCCTCTGTAATCGGGGCTTTGTTCATAAAGTCTTTGTTTATACCATTGTATTCAAGAGTTTTATGTACTCTTTCTTCCAGCAGATTTAATGTCTCTGGTTTAATATTAAGATCTTTGATCCATTCTGATTTTAGCTTAGTGTATGGTGAAAGATATGGGTTCAGGTTTAATCTTTGGCATATGTAAAGCCAGTTTTTCCAGCACCATTTACTAAAGAAGCTATCTCTCTTCCAGTGAATGTGTTTGGCAACTTTGTGGCTTAGTGTGTCTGGAATTGTTTCTGAGTCTTCTAATCTGTTCCACTGATCTTCAGGTGTTTTTGTTTTTTGTTTTTTTTTTTCCCCAGTATCGCACTGTTCTTATCCCAGGAGTTTTTTTTTTTGTTTTTTTGTTTTTTTTTTTTTTTGGTCTTTTTTCGTTTTTATTGGTACCAGGAGGAGCTTTATTTTTTAAAACTCATTAATTTATTTTTTTGTGTCTTTTTGAGACAGGGTTTCCCTATGCAGTTCAGGCTGGCCTTGAGCTCACTCTGTAGCCCAGGCTGGTTCCAAACTTGCTACAATCCTCCTGCCTCTGCCACCAGAGGTCTGGGATTACAGGCGTGTGCCATCATGCCCAGCTATCACAGTAGCTTTATAAAATATAACTTCAAGCCAGGGATTGTGATGCCCCCTGCCTTGCCTTTGTTGCCCAGGATTGCTTTTGCTATTCTTGGTCTCTTCTGGTTCCAGATGAATTTTAGGATTGTTTTCTCTAATTCTGTGAAATATGCTATTGAAATTTTGGAATTTTGACCAGGATTGCACTGAATAGTTCAGGGTGGCTCTGGACTCACTTTTTAGTCCTGGCTGTCCCCACACTCGTGGTGACCCTTCTGCCAGGATTCCAGCATGCACCACCACAGCCAGCTTTGGTTTGCTTTTGAGTCTCCTTACTTACTGGTACTACAAGGGCTCCAAGCTCATCTTGTATAATCCTGGCTTTAGGGTACAATCAGCCATTTCTCCATAAATTTCTGGTTCCTTTTCTTTGAGAATGATGTTAGAAAACAAGATGTGGGTGCCAGGGGTGCTTGTTACTAGGTTGGTACTGTATCTGGACTATCAACTGATAAAGACACTATATTTGTACATATAAAATTATATGAAGAGAGACCCTTTACAAATATTTCTGTCTATTTGTAGCACATCAGGTGATAGTGATTTTTAAATTTCAGTTTTTTTTTTTTTTTTTTTTTTTGTCTTTTTCGTTTTTATCGGTACCAGGGATCGAACTCACGACTGCCTGCTTGCAAGGCAGGCGCTTATGCCGCTGAGCTAAATCCCCAGCCCCTAAATTTCAGTTTTGAATTTGTTGCTAGTATGCAGAAATACAATTTATTTTTACATATCAACCACAGATAAAATAGCCTTGCTAAAATTCTTATTGATTCTAATAGTTTGTAGATTATTATAGTTTTTGTGTATATAACCATGTAGTCTGTAAGTACTTAGTTTTATTTCTTCTTTTCAAATTCTTATGCTTTTAACAGTTTGAGCTTCCATTGTCTGCTAAACAACTACTTCTTTTTCTAATCTTGTAAGCTAAACAACTACTTCTTTTTTTTGGTCCCGAGGATCAAACTTGCCAGGCAGGCGCTTATGCCGCTGAGCTA